TCTTTTCTCATCATGGCTCTCAGTTGTAAAACACTTTCTCTTTGCAGAGGCTTGGAGTTCTGATGGCAGACAGACAATGATGGATTCTCCTCGCGCTAGGCCTCAGTTCTCAAACAGCCATTATCATTACGGACCCTGCTGACTGCAGGGCTCATTTGGACAAACGGAGGGGGCTGTTGATATTTGAGGGAAGCCACGTGTAAGAGTGATGAGGAATACATAGCCTCTTTGCCCAGTTCCCTCTTTCTCATGCACACTCTTCTCTCTCTCATCCTTTTTCCAGCTTTCATTTGCCCTATTTTTTCCCGTTTTACTTCCCCTGCCTCTCTTTCTCTCGCTCTCTCCTTCCTGTGTCCTTGTCTCCTCTGTGTACCCCCCCCCCAAACAAACACACACACACAAACGTGTACGCTGCCCTCTAAGACTGCCCTGCCCCCACACAGTGTCTCTCTCAAATTAATGTGAAGATATTGACAAGTGATGGGCTTAGAAGGTATAGATCATCAGGAGGGAGAGGAAAAGAGAGACGAGACCAAGCTGAACTGCTCCTTACTAAATGAGGGCTTTCCCTGTTGCTACCCAGCAGCTTATGTCTGTAAGTGGTGGCTGCAGAAGTGCAGCAGTTAATCAGGTGTTTCTCATACTCGGTCTTCAAGAAAGCGTGATGGGTGGAGGCGAGAGGTAAAACAATGACTTTTTCAGGCTTACATACACAAAGTATAAAATAAAAGCCAGGCACATAAATATGTGTCACACTTGCACACTACTCTGTGCAAACTGGATAAAGCTGCTAACAATAAGCAGAGGACCACTTGGTCAATATGCCAGTTACCCAGATGAAGGTAAGGAAAGGGCAAATCATAGCCAATCAGCGAAGAGCTTTCACTGTCCTCTAGCAAGAGCTGACCCCCTGACCCTATTTGATGACCCTCAGGCCAAAGGTCAACACTCCAGGGGTCAGAGGGCATCGCCATAGACTGGCCAGAGAGGCACTGTCATGGCAACAGCACTGCCTAAAGAATGGTAAGGTGTGGCCAGCATGTGGATTGGAAGATGGTGATGTGATGGTACCTGATTTGTTAGAAACTTAAATTTGAGGGGTTTTCCATTTTATTGTTGTGCACATTTTATACCTCTGCTCTGGTACCTATGGAAATTTGTTAACCTGGGTTCTTTTCTGATGTCACGGCTCTCATGTCTTTGATTTGTCAGCGGTTTAACCGCTTCACTCATTTCCCTCATTCAAATGTGTGTTTGAAACTCAAGGGGAGGAAATAGACAAATTAATTAAATGTGTACACAAGAACTTCTTTTTTCCCCAATAAGTCATCTAAGTCATCCAAAGTCTGGTAAGATTAACATTGTGACGCTTTACAAGGAGCCTGAACTTTAGCTTTAGAACAAGTGAATTGCCCCTTGTTACTAAACCCTAAGTAATAAGTGAGGTCAGTTTTTTCAATGCTTAAATCCTTCATATTTTAAATAAATGATTCCAGTTTACATAACTGGTATTTTGTATTGGACACAGCATTTACATACGCAAAAAAAGATTCTTTCCTCATGAAGTAAAAATGTTGAATAAAATGTAACTGGACTATATAGAAATCAATAGGGAAGGAAATATATAAATTAATACAATTCAAGGAAATATTCATGGTGTACCAATCGCATCATTTTCATTATACTAAAATCCATTAAATTCAAATACATTGTTCTTCTGCAACAAAATCACATAGAAAATGTTATATGTAATTAAATTACTATAAGTCAACAATATATATTTTAAGTGCATTTTGGGACTTCTGTGTTTCATATAAAGCCTGTTCTGGATGTTTATTTCATTCTGTTGCTTCTGTTAATCACCTGTTTTAAGAGCCGGTGTACCTTTTGTACCGGAATCCATGCTGGGTTGCACCATCTTGTGGTGGTTGTGCGCACAGCTCCTGTGGTATTGCTGCTTCTATTAAACTTAGCTGCTAGTATATCAAGTACAATTGTGTTAGTCCATTAATTCACTTATGGACTTTTAAGTTGGTTGCCAACATAGAGATGTACTTGTCTGGTTCCAGTGTAATATTAAATGAGCAAATGGTAAACTTATCATTACTCAATAGTCCACGTTTTTGTCTGGGTTCAACCTCACCTCATGGTACAAACAGCATGAAATAGAAAAACTGAGGGGTAAAGTTTTTCTATTGACCTTTCCTGCTCAGCAATACTCAGTTGAGTAAGCCTATTTGTAGGCTGTGTAACTCTGTAGAGGTGTAACATGTGGACTAAAGTGAAAGTAAATTAAAGTGAACAAAGGATATTCAAAAGTCCTGTCCCTAATTGTACACTGTAGCGCTGTCAAAGTAACTGCTGTTTACTGATAACAGGTATGTTTCCAGTAGCGCAGAGGCATTGAAAAGAGAGAGGTTGGTATGAGAATTTGCCCTGAGAGCACAAGAGCTACAAAACTTTCAAAGAGAAATTGAGCAATGATATTAGCAATTACAGGCCTGCTGCAGCCGATCCCTCGTCTCCCTACTTGAACCTTCACTCAGGTTATTCAGGTACAGTCAAGAAGGACAGCACATCACGTTGCTCTTTCTTTCCATGTGTGTGTAGGAATATACATTACTGTGTGTACAGCTACATAGGTAATGCATATTCAGTTCAATTAAGTTCTGTTTTATTTATATAGAACCAAATCACAACAAAGGTTGTCTCAAGGTGCTTTACTGTAAGCTACACACCCAACAATAATACAAAGAAAACAGAAAAACCCGATGACCAAGCCCTTAGGCGACAGTGGAAACGAAAAAGTCAGTTTTAGCAGAAAGAAACCTGCCACTTGTAATTTCATTGTACCTGTGACAACAACAATAATGACATTCTGATTCTGATTCCAGCAGAACCAGGCTCAGGGAGGGGCGGCCATCTGCTACCACCGGATGGGGGTGAGTAGGATAAAGGAGCCTCTGTGGAAGAGAGCCAGAGATTAATAATAACAAATAATTAAGCAGCCTACTCCTATTGCAGCATAACTAAGGGAGGATTCAGGGTCACCTGATCCAGCCCTAACTATATGCTTTAGAAAAAAAGAAAGTTTTAAACCTAATCTTGAAAGTAGAGATAGTGTCTGTCTCCTGAATCCAAAGCTGGTTCCACAGAAGGGGCCAATAAAGAGAAGTTAATATACAAGAAATAAGCTCTCTTTTTCTAGTACCTGTCAATATTCTCGCTGCAGCATTTTAGATGAATTTAATTTTCAGGGAGTTTTCAGGACATCTTGATAATAACGAATTACAG